AAAAATCAATAAATGATATAGAAATTGAACGGCACGAGGCCAAGCAAATGTTAACCATAAAGTTTGCTCTTCCTCTTGCATCGCAAATCTAATGAAATTTGCACATTTTTATTGTTATCTCTGGTACAGTTATTGTCCTTGCGGGCAGTAGAGCAGCATATACACAAATCTTACAGTTCTACATGCGCTGTTGCCATGTGCAGCTGTTTTCAAGTGTGTTGTTGTTTTATTGTTTGCTTCGCAGCTGCTGTAACAACAACAACACAGCCCTGTCTCGCTGTCCCTGTCTAGTTAACATATTCCAATCAGATGAATTTCGTTGGGCTGCAAAATGTTTGGTCATCCCTGTGTAAAACCCAAACCCCAAGAACTAGTTGGCATGAATCACGCGCGCCGCTCTGTCTTGCAGAGCTCTTAAAATTTTACAGATTTTCCAATTGGACATTTCGAATTGGTACACACATCGCGTGAAATCAGCTCCAAACTGTGCACACTTAACGATTGAGGGCAACCAAAACAATTTGAAATGTATAGAAAACTAAAAACAAGAATATAAACATGAAACACTAGCGACAAACATGCGGCGGCCATCAAAATGTGTTCGGCACGCTGCCTAAACAGTGGCTGTAAAACTGTATTGGTCTATTGGCTGCTTAACACATACACACACACACACACACACACATATGTATATGCGCACATGTGTGTGTACAGAAGAAATATTTCAAATTAATTTCTTTTGGCTTGCGTCAAACACGAATACATATGTATGATTGTGTGAGTATGAGTTTCAATTGCAAACAAGTAATAATTTCTGCACGTATGATATCACGAGTAAACAAAACAATTGGCAGCAGCAGCCGTCGCAGCAGCAGCAACCACCCCAACAAGGTCGCCGACAATTGCTGGCAGAAGGACAGCCCATAATTCAATTTTGCCGATGCAGTTCAAACTGTTGTCAAATTGACAAAGTACAGTTAACATTAGTTATGCTCAACTCGCTCTCTCTCTCTCTCTCACTCTTCTGCTGAATACTTTGCACCTAACGGATATTGGTTAGATCTATCTGAATATCGCTTGCTTCCATCTACAGACTTTTAATTCATTTCGTATTGGCTTTCGTTCCTCTCTTATGCTCTGCTCCGCCTACGCTTTCGCTGTTACCAGGCTGTTGCCTCTATGCATGAAGATTAGGTGCTCGAAAGTATGTGCGTGTGTGTGTGTGTGTGTGTGTACACATACATATATAGTTTCAATAAGAAGTTTAGCATGCTGCCCGCGTCGCTGCCTTCTTTTTTGTTTTGCTGTTGTTTTTGCACGCTGCCAAAACGTTTTTTGTTGTTGTTTTGTTATTTGGTTTCGCAAGCGTTTTCATATCAGCCGATAAACTCGTGTGTATGCCGTGCAGAAAACGGAACAAATATAAGATAACATATTTCGAAATCATAAGAGTTTAAGGCAAATGTTAGTATAAGAGTTGAGAAAGGAAAGAGGAGTCAAATGGGACAGAGAAAGGAAGTTAAGAAGGGGAGTTGAAGGGGCGAGAGACAGAGACAGAGATAGAGAGAGAGAGAGAGAGAGAGAGATAGATAGAGAGTGAGAGAGAGAGGCAGAGAAAGAGAGAGAGAAAGACAAATAAAAACGCGTAACGACCTGTAAGGCTTACATGAACTTATGAGAATCGCATAGTAGGGCAATATTTAAAAGTAACTTTAATTCGCTGCACAGTGGAAGGAAATTACACGCTCTTGTTATTTGGCTTAAAAAGTAACGAGTTTATATATTCCTATAAAGGGAACGTTTAAGGTTTGATTCACCTGACCCTTTTATTTTAATTGGGCTGCTCGATTACGTTTTTTTTCCTCTTCCTTTAAACAGTTTTTGGTTGCACTCGCAAATTGATAACCTTATTGAACTTCAGTCGAATTGGTTTGATGGACGAGCATATTCAATTTAGAAACTGATGTAACTGATGGCCAATAAATATGGCTTGTTTAAGTACGTATTCCCTTTGAGCTGCTACTCGCTGCACGCTGGTGAATTTCCACTTAATTGATTCGAGACCTTCGGCCCATTTACAGCTATTGTTGTTGTTGCACTTTATGTTGCACGTGCTTGTTAATTACTTAGACAGTACGCTCAGCTCAGCCAGGCGTAGATGAAAGCATTTCCAATTTCATATTATTGATTTGCATGCGCTTCACTGTGCACAGTTTGAGAGCAACTGCTGTTTGCCAGCTTAATTTCGTTTTGATTACAAACGAATGAAAGAAAACAGGGTTTCGCCACGACCTTGAACTTGCAGTTGCAACCACCAAAAGAACAGAATATAAATAAAAATAAAATACAAATAAAATAAAACCTCCCCCAATCCAAAAATACGCACGAGCTAATGCCTTTGCTTGGGATTCTCTGCAGCCGGTTTCTGGACATGTGGAGATTCCTTTTTTGCTGAAATGCGCCAAATTAAATCAATATATTTGAATTAGCTGCACCTCTCCGTTGCCAATGTCAAGGCTGCCAGCGACAGTAACTAAACCCCCCTCCCCCATCCCCCTGGCAGGCCAATCAGATTTTCGCAGACACGCAAAAGTAACCGTGTGACGTCTGTTGTGCAGAAAGCCTACAATTCAATTCAGTGTTAATATTATTTGCATAGATGCGAATGGGAAACGTATCAAACGTGCCATAGCCGTAATTTATACACGCACAGTGGTGCGAGCTCTGATGAATTATTTGCAGAATCATTTATAGTTCGTTTTTGTTTTGAGCAACTAAATTTTAGTGTAAACGAACTTGGAGTATGAGAGAGTATGAGAGTGCAGAAAATAGTTTGAGAATTTTTAACTTTTTTATTTATTTTATGATTATATTCATAAGAAATTCATGGTTTTCATATATAAAAAAAAAAACAAACATAGTAACTGTAATTTATACACGCACAGTGGTATAAGCTCTGATGAATTATTTGTAGAATCATTTATGGTTACACATTTTTTTGAGCAACTAACTTTTTGAGAATATTCAAATTGTTGCAGAAAATAGTTTGAGCATTTTCAACTTTTACTTGTGTAATGCAACATTAAAATGGTCCATAAAAATAGTTAAATTTAATAAGAAACTCATGCTTTTTATATGAAAAACATAGTAATAAATTTTCGATATTAGTAAATTTAACTTTGAATATTTTTAATACATCTAGAAATCTCTCGAGTGAAAAGTCAATAATTTGACAAACAAAGCTAAAGTAAAGAATTTTTTCTCAAAGCTGTTGCGACATAAAATTGGCCTATATTATGGCGCTTATTAGTAATTTTACCTCAAATAAGTGGCTAATATTCAAGTAAATATTAGTCAACTTCTGGACATTTGTTTTTATCAAACATTAAACTTATATTAGCCAATATTTCGGCAATTCAAGGCTTGTTTTGTCCAAATTCCCGGACATAATTCCGCAATATTCTGGTATTTAATGGACCACATTATGCCGGGTATTAAATACCTTTCTTCTTTAAAGTGCGGAATAACTAATTTAGAAATTCCTGGAATTTGATTTGGCTCAATGCAAATAGGCATTGACACACTGTGCATACCCCATACTGACTAATGCGTGTGTATGAAACAGTTTTTATTTCTGTTTTATTGGATCGTCATAGTGCTCGTTGTTATTTTAGTTCCATGCCATACCCTGTGTTCGATAAAAAGCCGTAAACGTCTTGGATTTAGATAAAGCATATGAGTTTTTGTACTAAATAAACTAAACGCACATCATGTGCTTTAGAATTCTGCATTTATTATTGAAATTGGTCTCAACTCAACTCCTTAGCTGGTTTACGCCAATACAGGATATATCAAAGTCATGTTTGCATATCTGTTTTCTTTTGTTTGTATTTGAGACGTCAGGCAAATATTGCATTCATGCCCCTTTCTCCTCTTCGCATGCCAATGTGAAATTGCGCAGCTGAAACAGTTTTGACTGCACTGCAGTGCTGCTAAAACCGGCAAATGTTGCGTGCTTTGTGTATTTATTTTTAGCCAAATGATTCCAAAATACGCCATAAATTGCCAATTATTTTGATACCCTTTGAATTTGAGTAAAAGGTGTATACAAGTCTGGTGCATGGAAGTTGAATTGCTCTAAGCGCATCTCGGTGTTGGACACAGTGTATCTCGTAGTCGGGCACGAGCACTCTTACGTGTTTTGACCTAGTTGTGTAACAGGCATGTGTTTTTGTGTAGGGGCAAGTTTCAATGTGTTGACTTCATCTCGATGTTGGGCACAGGGTATCTCCAAGTCTGGCAGCCCCATTCTGGTGGGCGCACTTGCACGTGTATAACAGGCAATATGTTTGTACAAGTTTGTTTTTGTATAGAAGGAGGTTTCAATGCAACTCGGTGTTAGGTGCAGGGTATCTCCAAGTCTGGCAGCACATTTATGTGTTTTGAGCCACTTGTGTAACAGACAGTATGCATATGTTTATGTAAAGAAGGAAGTTTCGATGTGTTGACTCCAGCTCGATGTTGGGTGCAGGGTATCTCCAAGTCTGGCACTCCCACCTACGTGCACGCACACTCTGCGGGCAATATGCATATGTTTTCTTCTTTAGAATAAAGTTTGAATGTTGGGCACAGGGTATCTCCCGGTCGGGCACTCCCATTCAGGTACCAGCACTCTTACGTGTTTTGAACCTCGGTTATATCAGTGTAATGGAAAAGTTCTCGCCGTAATTGCTGCCAGGCCGCCGTGGGCGGGGGCGGGGGCGTAACTAGGGTCTTCGCTTATGGAAATTTTGCGAGCATATGTCAACGTAACTCAAACGTAGTCACGACCTTGAGCAGGCGCACAGGCATTGTCCTGGCCGGGCTACTAGTCCATGCCCCTCGCTCCCTAGCCGCCCGCCAGCTTGGAGGCACGCTCTGGCTTTGTGTTTAGCTACGTTTAGTCACTCCTTTGGGAGGTATTCAACTTTTATAGACACACACACACACACACACAGATATGCCATAGATTGTGGATTATTTTATTGGTATGAGCTAAGAATGTAGCACATCCTTGAATCGTAAACAGTTATCGTATACATTTCTTGGTAAATAACATTTTGGGCTTGTTTTAGCATCTGCCGCCCAGATATGGTCCATAGTTGAGGCGACACCATTTATTGGGATAACCTAAGGCAATTCGAAAACTCAAACAAATTAAATATATTTCTATGATATTCCTTTCTCAACTCGTTTACTTACGTGGCCATTTGGTCGTTTTGTATTCTCCACGTGAACAGCACAAAATTGACAATAATATAAAAATAATAGAGAAAGTTGCTTGCATTTTCTTTAATTTATTTAGAGCTTTCTGTGCGAAGCACGCCACTTATAAACTCCTTATATTGCGTAGATAATGCGGCGTGTAGGAATTAGCATTTTTAACTGCGCATATTTTACGCGATTAACGCGTAGAAATCGCATTAGTTGGGCTTATATAATTATCATTCATTCTTCAAACTGAAAATTCGTTTTTTATGATACTTTTCCTGTGCCCAGTTTTCTCTTCATATTTTTGGTTTATATCAATATATTTGTATCGCTAGATATTTGTATTTCTATTATCCCAAGAGCTACACCGCAAACAACTTTCGAGCACATCTTTGTTATTAACCATATTTGCAAAGAAATTTTCGTTAAGATTTGATTCACACTTTTTGCAGAATCCACTTTTGTTCAGTGAAAAATGCGGATTAAAGATTTCTGAATGCTTAATGAATGAGATTTTTAGGGATTTTGGGTAAGATATCTTATTGGAGAAATACGTTTTTTATACAAGAATCTACTTTTGGATCGTTTGTTTCACTGAAAGCTTTCAGATATTGTGGTCAGATTCTGATAAGATTTTGTAAATATGTAGGAAGCATACTAAAGACGTCCACTTTGTTTAGAATATCTTGATAAACTAAAAAGTTGTTCATACAGAACATATTTTGGACTGTTTGTTCCTATGGCAGCTATATGATATAGTGGTAAGATCCTGCCGGTTTCGACTAAGACGGACTATATTAACTGGGCTTAAATACTTTATGGGTTCGGAGATGTCTCCTTCTGAGCGTTACACAGGTGCATTAAACAGGGTATATACAGGGTATAATGACTGCGTGTAAGTTTTTTACGTTCGGGAATTGGGTGAATTGTATTGGCACGAGCAAGGCCGGGTAATATACAATATAATATTCTTATATGTCAGAAAATTTCTTACTATTTTCACATGATGAACTTTACCTGAAAATGCCTATATCAGCTTGTACTTACAACTCCAAAAATACATGATGAGTTCTAATTCCTTGAATTTTCTGGTTTCAATTATAATCTCTTGCCGATTTGCATGAAAGATACAAATGATCTAATCTGATCCATTAAAGGCTCATTAGAAATAACACAGTGCGGATTGCCAGAACGCTGACAATTATTTGAACAAAGGCAGTTACGAGCATGAATAGCCGATTTCTTTAGAATTGCCCTGACATTAACTGTATTCAGATATATATATATATATATATATTATATATGCTGACCGCCCATTCCGGTCGAAGTATTTGTGGCGCGTGCTCAGTGGGGCGTGGGGCGTGGGGCGTGGGGCCCGGCCTAAATATACAACGAAATTGCGCCAATTTAAACAATATGCAATTTTTTTCAATTTACTTTCCAATTGAAAAGCACACCAAGAACAAAGCCGGAACTGGTTGCGGCCAGATTCAATGAAATTCGAATGTGTTTTGTCATTTTATTTGATTTTCTATAACGCGAGCTGCATTAGGGGTAGTCCGTTCTGATTTGGTGCTAAGAATTTACTTTAATTTGAATATTTTTCAAATGTTTTTATTGTTGTTCAATTTCTATTGCAGACATGGTGAATATCTCTCTGACGTGGAAACAATATTGCTGTCCTAAACGTCAGGTAAGTGAGAGAATCCTTAGTTTAAATTTGAACATGAACTTTAACCGAATCCATTTGCAGTTTACCAACTCGACTACCATCAGCTGCTACTCAACATAACAAGAAACTTCTCTGCAACAACAACACCAACTCCACAACTCGAACAGCAACTGAAACAAACAAATACAACAACTACAGCTACAAGAAGAAGAAGAGCAACAACTGCAGCTGCCAGAGGAAAACCCCGATTCGAGTGCATCAAGGGGTTAAACACACAAGCGGAGTTCACATTTGTCCAATCAGAAGTTTTTCCCAATCAGAAAAGTTGTCAGCTGCAAGCTGTGAAGAGTTAGCTAGTTGGGACAGAGAGAGCGAGCGAGAGGGAGAGGGGAAGAGAGCGAGAAAGTATCATTTTATTAACTTATTATTATTAATATTTTAAACAGTATTTAGTGTCCAGTGTTGTCGCACTGAGTCAGTATTTAGAGTCCAGTGTTGTCGCACACTGTTTTGTGTTTAGGCTTACGTAATTTATTGCATACTTTTAGGCAAGTCGAGCTGAGCACTGCTTCAGCTTGGAGAGGGAGGCTCAAATAGACCCTAGGGGTTCCATCAACACGAACAGTTTTCGGTTGGTTTTCTTTTGTTTTCTTTAACGCTTAGAAACGTGCGTGCGCATCTGTTTGTGTCCATAAAAGCGACTGTAATTTAATTTTCATTATGAAAATAACAACAATGAAGTCTAAGCGCAAATATGGCTGTTTAGAAAATATTTGAAAAGAATTTTTCAATTATTAATAATTAAGATTATTTTTCGTCTATCATTTATTATTATTGTAGAATTGTATTTTATAGTTTCTTTTGCACTCAAATTTTCCCCAAGCATTTCATTTCCTCTGCACAACAAATCGTTTCAAAAAGTTAAGGTTCGACGAACAGACAGACAGACAGACAGACAGACAGACAGACAGTTGTTTGTTGTTGTTAGTTTAAAGTGAGTTTTCTCTAAGAAGTACAACAATTGAATTAACCAACTATGGAGAGTTATTCGCCGGATTTGCTATGGATGGTCATTATTGGCTTTCTAATTGCATTTGTTCTGGCCTTCGGCATCGGAGCAAACGATGTGGCCAACTCCTTTGGCACCAGCGTCGGCTCCGGCGTTCTAACCATACGTCAGGCGTGCGTTTTGGCCACGGTCTGTGAAATTTCGGGCGCCGTTTTGATTGGTAAGGCCCAAAACAAGTCTGAAATAAACAATTTAAATTCAAAATGCCGAAAGCTTACATAGTGCATAACTAATTTAAGTTTGTATTCCTGGAATTGAGATACTTTTCTTATGCATTCCTGCAGGCTACAAGGTGTCGGATACGATGCGAAAGGGCATACTTGAGGTGACGCTGTACGAAGGCGCCGAGGAGGTGCTTATGCTGGGCTGCATGTCGGCATTGGCAAGCAGCGCCATATGGCTGCTGGTGGCGACGTTTCTAAAGTTGCCCATTTCTGGCACGCACAGCATTGTTGGGTCGACAATTGGCTTCTCGCTGGTGGCACGCGGCGTCCAGGGCCTGAAGTGGACAACGCTGTGCACTATTGTCGTCTCGTGGTTCATTTCGCCGGTGCTGAGCGGCTTGGTGAGCATTCTACTATTTCTGACCATACGCCGTTTCATATTGCGCGCCCAGGAGCCCCTGAAGGCGGGCTTCCGTTCGCTGCCCATCTTCTATGGCGTCACGTTCTTCATCAATGTCATCAGCGTGATTCTCGATGGTCCCAAGTGTAAGTAGAAGCTGCCTTAGCTGATTGCTTTATTTACCATTTGGCTCATTTGTGTGCGTCCTCTGCAGTGCTTTATATGGACAACATACCCACTTGGATAGCGTTGACCGTCAGCATGGGCTTGTCCCTGCTGGTGGCGCTGCTGACGCAGCTGGTGGTGGTGCCGCTGCAGCGGCGCTCCATTGCCAAGAAGCTGCGCGCACAGAATCCGGTCAAGTTCAATTTCGAGGACTCTGTGGGTAAGTGTGCGCCAGCCCAAAAGCAAAAGCAATTACTCAGCGTTTGGTTCGATCTTATAGAATCCTCGCCGTCCGGCAGCCCCAAGAAGCAGCGCCGTCCGCTTTCGCTTGTTAGTGAGGGTAAACCACTGCCGGCTATTGCCGAAATCACCGAGCTGGTCTCGCTAAGCGACAATTCGCCGAAGACCTTTAAGCTAGCGCCTTACGGCCTCGCGGCCAAAAACAACAATGCGACTGCCGAGGATTACAAAATCGATCCGGAGATCATACGCAAGGCTGAGGATCTGTTGGGCAAGGCCAGCCTCGATAATCCCGATCTGACTGTCACCAGCTTGAACTACATCGACGAGCAGCAGAATTTACAGCACCAGCAAAACGGACGCAAACTTCAAGAGTGCTTCAAGCGTGTCCAGTCACCCAAGGAGGAGCACAAGTCGCAGCAACTGGCTGCGAATGCAGCTGCAGCCGCTGGCAGTGCGAATCCAAATGCCAGCGCCAGTCCAAATGCCACTGTTACCAATAACAATCTGCAAGTGGTGCAAAGTGCTGGCAGTCTGGACCTAATGCTCAGCACCACCTTGTCGCCGAATTCCAGCAAGGTGCCGCTCATCGAGAGCAAGGAGGCGCTCAACGAGCAGGAGGAGGAGTTTAAGCGTGCGGCCGGACGACGTGCCAGCAGCAACGAGGAAACGCAGGAGGTGTCCATGCTCTTCTCATTCCTGCAAATACTGACGGCCACCTTTGGCAGCTTTGCGCATGGCGGCAATGATGTTAGCAACGCCATCGGACCACTTATCGCTCTCTATATGATCTATCGCGAGGGCTCCGTTATGCAGAAGGCCGAGAGTCCCATTTATATTTTGATCTACGGTGGCATTGGCATCTCCGTGGGTCTCTGGCTGTGGGGACGACGGGTCATCGAAACCATTGGCAACGATTTAACAAAGATCACCTCATCAACGTGAGTACTCGAATATATTTCAAAAATGTAAATAAGCTCATTTTTATTGCTCTGCTTACAGTGGCTTCACCATTGAGGTTGGCGCCGCGATCACCGTACTGCTGGCCAGCAAGATTGGTCTGCCCATTTCCACAACACACTGCAAGGTCGGTTCGGTGGTCTTTGTGGGTCATGTGAGTGCCGCGGGCCGCAAGCAGCAGCGTCAGGAGCACGAAAAGCAGCTGGGACCGCAGCCGGAGGCGCCGGCACAGGCGGCCACTGTGCCCGCCCCGATGGAGGACGGCAGCGTCGATTGGCATCTGTTCCGGAACATTGCGTACGCCTGGATAGTTACCGTGCCGGTAACCGCATTGCTCAGCGCCGGCATGATGTACGTGCTCTGCGCCCTCGTTGTGGATGATATGGGTCAGGTTTAGGGCGAACTCTTCATTGAATTATTAATTGTCAAAGCAAACTAATGTTTCGTAATTGTGCCAGTTGATAAATGCAAAACTAAAGACAACAAGAAAGAAAGCAAAACTAAAAACAAAACACCTTAAAACTAAACTTAACAAAATTACTCACCTAACTAAGCAAAAAAGTAATGGAATATGGCAAATGGAAAAGCAAAGCATTTTACTTAACGTCTGAACATAACTGATATTGGTATTGATATTGTTTATATACATACGATATTGTAAACATTTAAACATAGCACTTTTCTTATTTTCCCCGTATCATTTTGTATGCCCAAAATTTGATTTAATGTACGCCCTTTCTTTAAGTCCAATTCAAATTTAAATGCAGCGCATTTTTGTTATTGTATGAAATGATGTCCGGTGCAATTGTTTAATGCATTCAAATTAAAACACAAATTGTTTCAAATTCCTTTTGGACAGCTTTAAAAAGAGTATTTTACATTTTGTACATTTCAAAGCAATAGAGCAAAACACTTATGAATAAAATACAAACTACTACAAGAAATTCGACTTAAAAAGCTTTGCCTGTTAGCTCAACTTTGCTCTCAAAGCTCTCAACAGGTTGAATGGAGCTAATGAGACGCCTCTCATTGGGCATGCAAATTGTAGCTGCAGCTAAAGCTCGCTCGCAACTGCGACTTGGCATGCAAATGTGTTGCTCAAAGCTCAACGCGCTCACGCGCAGCTTTTGGGCGCGGCAGCGTTCGAGCGCTGAAAAGCTTCGGTCAGTTGAGTTTTAAGCTTCGATGCGTTCGGTTGTTATTTTTAGTCGCAATCGGTTGGGCAAGCTCGGCCTCCGTACCTGTACCAAGCCTTAAACTCGTAACGCCTGCGCGTATTTCTTATGCATTTTAAAACGGTTGAAAATCATGCGAAATACGTAGTTGAAACGTTTACAAAACAAAAACACACAATTGTTAAATAATAGATACAAAATAGATGTGTTGCAAGTGTAAAGTGTGCACAGGTGTTTAAGTGCTCAATTCCAATTGGATTAACGCTAAGGAACTTAAAGGTAAGCGCGTGTTTTCCAACACTAATACAAACTATTAAAGCTGGCTTGATTAAATATTTGACAACGTTTTTAATACTTTCAATATTTATTAAAATCACATTTTTTGCATTTCTTATGGTACTCTTTTTTCATTTTCTTATTTTTTTTTCGCTAGTTTTTTTTGGACTAACTAATTGACTTTACTTCCATTTAATATCATGTTCTCACATTTTGCTCCACCGTTTGCTTCCTCTTTCTACACTTCCTGACATTCTGCTTGGTTCGGTTCTCAGTTTTGTTGCGTTTGATTTGGTTTTCCGTTTCCATTTCTCCAATGACAGGTCGCCAGCATTTTCCCCGCACATCTATCTATCTATCTATCTATCTATCTGTCTGCATGGTGTATTACTTAATTTCTTTGCTTAATCCGATTTGCGTGCATTGAACTCTTCTTTCTCATCTGTGGGGCTTTAAAGGTGTGTTTTGCCGCACAAATTCTCTAAGTCTTTTTTGTTGTTGTTGTTTTTACTGATTGTTTTTCTTCTTCTTTGTTGTTAACTGGCAAGCGGCTTGTTCTCATTTTGGGGCATTTATTTAATGTGCTATGTTTTGTTATTGTTTTTTGCTCGAAGCCTGTTCGCAGAATTTTGTTAAATGCGCAACAAAACAAATTCGCAATTTATTATTCGACATGTGCATGCTCCGAATTGTTGTTTATCAAATTTATGACAAAGTAAAGTGTAATTGAAAAAAAAAGTGGAATACCCCTAATATATTCAATATAATGACATGAAATTTAATTTACTTATGCATCAATTTTAATTTTTAAATTGAAATTTTACATAAATTTAGTGCCGACTAGAGATCACTTCTCACTGCTGCAAATCAAAAGAAACGTACCTTTAAATATTGCCCTTCTACGCGATTCTCATGATGTCAAGTAAGCCGTACAACCTTTCATGCTTTGATTTTTCTTTTAAGTTTCTCGCCCTATCTTGTCAAATCTCAAAATCGCTGTAAGTGTGAGTTTTTCCGATTTCATTATCATCATAATTAAAGTATGTATTTAGTTTAAACTCATTATGCTAAATATATGGTAAATCTTCTAAGCATCGGACCACTAATGATATATAAAATATATATATGTATGATAAATATGATAATATAGCTGCTAATAAAGAGAATTGAGATAGTTGCAAATGTTGTTGTTCCTTCTAAAACTTGTCTGTTTATCAAGATTTCGCATATCTGACGGACCCTCAGCCATATTTTACGAATACTTTGCTTAGACTTTCATTAAGTTTGGATAATCATATAAATACATTTATATATATTAAGGAGGTGAGAATGTAATTTGCAGACACTGTTAAAGCTAATTAATTTGACTGGCTGTTAGCCACGCTTGGCATGTGTGACATCTGACCCATTTGAGGCATTCAGCAGGTGTTCTTTGAATTCAGCATGGAGATAGTTTGTCCAGGTAGCTGCCAGCTGCCTCTAGCGGTCTTTTGCCACTTACTGTGCCGGCAAGCAAATCACTTACGTAAATCAGAGCCAATTCTCTGGCAGAACAAAAGCCAAGCAAAGCCATTAACTTGGCCAAGAGCCGCGGCCATAGCAAATGGCCAAAAGTCATTAAAGACAAAAACAACGCAAAATCTATTGAAATCAGAGAAGAAACACGCCTTAAAAATATTTCAGCATTTTATTTTTTTGCGCCAGACAGAGGTGGGGGGCAGACCAGGTGGGAAGGGGGGGGGGCATGCCAATTGGCAACTGGGAACTGGTTGCTGCCCCTGTTAATTATGAGCTTATCAGTTCATTTCTAGCTACTGGCAGGAGTCCACTGCGGTAATTACACACCTGCCGCCACTCACCTGGATTGCTTTCCGTGTGCCATTATTGAGTATCGCATCCATTAGATACAATTTCGAGTGCAGCACATAACAAAATCTCGCTGCTGCTGTACAACATGCTATTATCCGATTCTGACAATCCACTTTTGCATACGTCTATGTGTACCTGTATGTGTACCTGGCGTATACCTGTGCTCGTTATGATAACCCTCGCGGCGATCCGTTCCCCTTGGTCCACTTTCTCCGGCAGCTTCTGCTCGTGTGAGCTGCTCCAGAGACAGCTCCCACAATGTGATTGGACAAGCTATAAAAACTTGCTAGATATTCTCCATTAAAGTGCTTAAAAAAGCGTCATAAAGTAGTTTCATATAAGTTTATATTTAATGGTAATAAAAATAATAAAAATAAAAATTTTAACTTAAAAAAAAAAATACACCTCAGTTTTACAAGCTTAGCTAATCGAGCAAACTATAATTGTTAATACAACTATTAAAATTTTCGATTAATATAAATATGTATAAATAAAAATAATTAATATAAAGTTATTATTTATTAAATTAAATCTCTATTTCTCAAACGAATGTGATATGTTCACAGTTCGATTTTTCAAAAACTTTAAATAGCATATTAAAGCTACTAAATTCTAAGTTTAATCAAGCTATTTGGATAAAGCTTTCCAATCAGAATTGCAATTATTCTTATAAGAAATTGTGTTTCGATGCCATGCTCCGTTTTGCCTGAACAGAAAGGCGAACCTACTGAAAAGTTTCGAGGGAATTCTTTTAAGACTCTGAGACTAGTTTTTAAAGGTTCAAGAATATATATAATCTACGATATATATCTTTTTATATCTATATATCTATTACGAAAGCTTCTTCAACTATATGTCATCTATATAATCTAGAAGCGTCTACAGATTTCCTTTTTTTTTAGTTAGTTGCGTATTTTTTTTCTTCTTTGTAATATTTGTTAGTTTTTTGGCCTCAACTTTCTAATGTGAATGATTTTTGCTTCCTGTTCGATGGTTTTCCTTGAATTTCCTTTATCGGCTCGTCTCGCACTTTGCCTGAAGTTGGCCTGCGACTGCATTTCCCACTCGGGACAACATTTCATAAAGTTTATTAAACTTTAGCCAAATTGTTGGGGCGACAAACGCCGCCTTCCCCCCGCCCTGTCCGCTCGGCCCATTCACTTTTTCGTGTTGGCCGCCGCAAACAAGTTCATCAGCATTTGGCCAGGTTTGGATACAGCTTCAGCTTCAGCTCCGGCCTGGCCAGACCAAAACAAACTGCCAACTCCTCGTCGACTGGTTGTTGGTTAATGTTGTTGATGGCAATGGAAATGGATTGAGCCGGCACATGGAGCACGTTGCATTTGTATTTTCCATGAATGTTACTCGAAAAAGAAAACCCTCACTGTCCGGTTTTGCCATCGAATAGGCATTTGCAAACGCAAATTAATTGTTCAATGCAAAACTGTTTGAAGTTGAGTTTGACAAAAAACACTTTTTGGGAGAAATTGAACAAAATTTATGACACGCTTTGGCAGACTTGTGCATTTTCATATCTCAAAGCAAACATTTTCGCAAATATACGAATATAGTTTTTCATTCGATTTATTTGCAAATAAATGCATAAACAACTTCTTAAACAATTCGTAAATAAATTCCAAGGTAAAACCCATTGAAAGTTACCATTCACCTGCATAAATTCCAGCATAAGCTAAACATAAATAAAATGCAAAAGTTTATGATAAAAAATACATAGACTTAATTAGAAAAATGCTCATGTGCATAAGTTAACCACAACAACAACAGCAGCAACAACAGCAGCAAAAACAGCAGCAACAACAACAGCAGCAGCAACAACATTAACATTAACAGTAACCACATTTTTTCATCAGTTAGTGAAGCAGGCAACCCCGTATAATATGTCACCGAACATAGCCCCCCCTCCACCCTGCACAATCGCACAACAAGTTCTGCCCAGCGCCCCGCCTCCCACACCCGCAACCCACACTCTCTTATACAAAGCAGCGCCTTGTAACGGTAACAAGTCGCTGAGCAGCTGCATTTGCATTGAAAGTTGTCTGGCAGAGCGAGCGAGCCAGACAATTCACCACGATTGATTCTATGAAATCGAAATCCGAATCGAAGTCCGAATCGAAGTCCGAACGTTTTCCGCTCTCAATTCGCACTCAACGCACAAAGCATAAATAAACCAATTCCAAATTCTTTGCGCTCTAAATGGATTCAATTTGTGACGTTCTCTTACTCACATATATATATATATGGTTTTTCACTATTTGAGTAGAAATACTTTTAGACATGTTATTAACATTATGTTATTCATTTAACATTTCAAAGGCAAAAGATCTAAGGTTAAATTTAGCGCGCTATTTCTGTTTGAAAATATTTAAGGCTCAGAATATTTTCAGTAGAGCGGGCAATTATGATTAAATTTTGATAAAATTCATTTTTCATGAATATCTTGAAAGCAGAAACAATTCTTATTGGTTTAAGCTGGGATCGTCGTGTGCGGTTACCGTCCCACTCCAGTAGACTTCTGTTGATTAATCTTTCTTCCTTAGCTCTTTGTTGAAATGTGATTTGTGTAATATCTATTCATAAGTCAATTACGGATGAAATTGCGGGTTCCTTACATTTGTTTTAACTAACAATGCCTTGTTTGAACTATTTCGGGTCCATTGAGATGATCTCTGGGTTTTCTGCTCGGAGTCCTCTCTTACTCTTGTAAGTCATAAAATCGTAATTCTTTAGCAAGTATATAGGCTTAGCCTATTATTTTAGTTTGTATTCGATTCGGAGTTGGTTCAAGCGATGAAATTAACTCACCTCGAACCCCCTTTGAAAATGGGTAAAAAATCGTATAATACTCATGTCCGTCTGTCCGTCCGTCCGTGTGCATAAGAACCTATAAGAGCTAGAGACTTGACATTTAAGCTGTAGTTCCTCTAAGTGCCTGTGCAGATCAAGTTTTTTTGCGATAATCGATAACCTACTGCGCTTCCAAGCAATCGATAAAAATCGTTATCGAATTCCTGCTTTTATAGTAAAATTTGCACTAGATTTTCGTTTAATCAATTGAAAATCCGTTCTTTGACTTTTCCTGCTGTCCACAATTAAATGAAACGTGAGCAATAACA